TTTCCCCTTCCTCCTCCTCGTCACTCCTCGTCCTGTCTCTCCTTCCTCCTCCCTCCTTCATCCTCCCTCCCCCTCCCTTCTTCCTCCTTCCTCATCCTCGTCCTCCTGCCCCTCCTCCTCGTTTGGCATCAGCTTCACATGTGGAGGGCGGGTCGTTTTCAAAATGTGGCTCCTCGGCGGTGGATAAACCTCCCTTTAGTAAACCACCCTTTTTTAATGAAAACTGCCAAATACCGAAACCGACGGGCCTGGACCCGCAAAACTGTCGTCCGCGACGCCCAGTCGCGAAACGGAAACGGCCAATTTGCGAATCGACTTGTCAGGGTAGGAGCCCTATCGACCTCCGACCTCCGGGCTCGCCCATCCGCGCGGCGCACATTCGTTGTAGTTTCACATTTGCAAGAGTTTCACACATTGAGGGCGGGTCGTTTTCAAAATGTGGTTCCCGCCTTAGTTCGGCGCGCATTCTTTTCGGCCATTTGCAAGCGCTTCGCGGATTGAGGGCGGGTCGTTTCCAAACTGTGGCTCTCGCCATAGCGCGGCGCACGTTCATTTAGACAATTGCAAGAATGTCGCGGGTTGAGGGTGATTCATTTTCAACGTGTGGCTCTCGCTTTAGCGCGGTGCACATTTGTTCTACACATGTGCAAGAGCTTCGTGGATTGAGGGCGGTTCCTTTTCAACATGTGGCCCTGGCCTTGGCGCGGCGCACATCCGTTTCAAGCGATTGCAAGAGCTCCGCGGGTTCCCATCACCAACGTGCCAGAAACTGTGGTTTGAGAAATTCTAAGATTATGCTGACGCGACAATTATTTCGATTCGCTGTGTTGAAGTCCCAAGAATGGCGTCCTGGCGCGATCCAGGATTGTCAAGACGCAACAGTCAGGTTTACCCGTGGCGTTGAAATCTCGAGCACCATGTTTTGGCATGCTTCGGGGTCTGCAAACGGTTGTCTTCCAGAGGGGCAGTTCCTTCCATGGAAATGAACCGTCGCGGTAGCCTCTGAAATGGGGGGGCTTGGATGGGGGGTGGGGGTGGGTGGGTGGCTGGGGGGAGGGCTATTCCGACATCGTTGATGCCTCTTTGGTTTGCGCTGGTCCTCCTCCTCCTCCTCCACCTCCTCCTCCTCCTCCTGGCACGTGCCCCACGCGCGAACAACGGGTTCGGCCTTGGTCGCCACCTTGCTCGACGCGACGAAGCGCAGCTCGAATTTGCGGCAGCGGACCGGTTGCTGCTGTCTGAGACACTATTCCCAGTGGATCCAAAGCAACGATATGATGGTAAAGAACGGTGGAAACGGCGAGCGGGGGGAGAGAGGCAGCAGGGGACGGGGGGCCAAGACGAGAGAGAGGACAATCAGGGGGGGCATCAGCAGCGAGGACAGCGGCGAGGATATCAGAGAAACGGTAGAGTCCTTTGTCCCTGAGCAACCGAATTTGCAACCTACATACTTCTGAAAGGCGCTGGCTGTGGCCCGAGCTCCGCGCGGGGTCGCAAGGGCGGCTGTGCTTTGGGACTTCGGGATCATCAGGAGGCGATTTCAGACATCGCCCCACCCGATGTCGTTGACCTCGGCGGACTTACGGGATAACCACTTCTTAAAGCGACGAGAGAATCCGTTTGGGGGCCGATCGGGGCAAAGCAAGCGAAGGAGCTCAGCGGCCATGGGGGCCTGGGGCCGCCTCTTCTCTTCGGCTAGGACGCCGCGACCAATTCTGAGAGCACTATGAGCGGCAGTCTTCCGTTCGGGGGCTGCAGGGAACTCCGTTCGAGGCCTCGTGCAGAGCTTCCACAGAAGCAGTGGGCCGCCGGAAAGGCGGGCGGGCTCTGCCTGCCAGCAGCCGCCAGAGGAAGAGGGGGTGTGGGAAGGGCCGCGCGGCTGGCCAAGATCGCATGGGCATCGCGCCAGCGTGGGAAAGTCCGCATCGAGCCTCTCAGGACAGAGGCGAGGTTCTAGACCAGGGCGCTGTGGAACTTCGCCCCCCCCCCACCCCGCCCCACCTGTGCAAATTTGAGAAGTCTGCTCTTGACATGCAACAGTAAGGGGCAGCAAAGACAGAGGCGAGGGCGGCGCGTTCGCACCGAAAGAATGGGGGGGAAAGAAGGGACTGGGAGACGCAAGAGAGAACAGTCAGGACTCTCGAATTGCACAGACATGCAACAATATCCGGCGGCGGTCGCATCCTTCCCAGCGCGCGCGCGCCCCGCCGGCGCGCTTCTGGATGGGGGCAGACCAGGGCTCGCCAACAACGCCAGGCCCCATCCAATGCCCGAATATTTCAGGGCGGGGGTCACCTTGAACTGCTGCCACTGCGGCATATTGTCTCGTGTCGTCTCGGAGCCAGGCGATGATCTGAGCAGCTATCTCGGGGCTCCGCTGGGCGTGCAGAGGGGCCGCGAAAAATCTTTGGGCCTTTAACTTGGACGAGGCCGCTCTCTCTGCGGCCCTGAAGACACTGGCAATATTTGTCAGCGCTGCAAGTTGTAAGGGGGCGACGCCGACGTCGTCAGCGCAACATCTCGCAATCCCTCTGGAGGGGTATTAATCAATCGGTGAAACTGCTACATGAGAGGGTTGGTGCTGAATGCGTAGACTGCTCCTGGGGCTGGGCAACCCTGCACAATGCCAGATGAGATGTTGAACGGCTACGCGCATGAGCTGCCTGGCTGCGCAAAGCAGGGGGGGTCAATATAGATGAGGAGAAGGAAGGGCATCAACGGGGGGGGGGGATTGAGGGTAGCTAACCTGAAATAACCACTGATGGACGATCGTGCGAGACTAGCGCAGGCGTGAGGGTGTCCGCCCTTTCGTTAAGCCCAGCTACTCTATCTTGCCCAGACGTCAAGCTCTAAGATATTCTCTCCGTGGTTCCTCCCGCAAGCAAGCCCGCGTTGAATCGGATCTACAACTTGGGGGGGGGGGGGGCGCGCCGAGACAGCGATTTTGCGCGTGCGCGCGGGCACTTTGCAGTCTGCATTTTCAAGCCGAGCGGGCGAGCAGCGGCGGGCCCGCGGATCAGCTCGCCCCCTCCTGGACCGACCTCCACCTCCTTCGAAGTGAAGACACCCTTGAGCTCGTCGAAGCCGTGAAGCACGGGGCTGCCAGCGAGGGGCCATGCGATGACCTGCTCGAGGGCAGCGGGGCCTAACGGGTGGTGGCGCCGCGCAGCATGCGGGGGGCCGGCAGGGCCTGGCGCGCGGGCTGGCAGGGCGAGGAGAAGCCCGTCTATGTCCCTCTTCGACGGCGGGGCAAGGTCGCCGAGATCAGCGTCAAATCCAAAACGGCGAAGGCGCGCATCGGCAGCCGCCGCGTCGATCGGTTTCACAACAAAAACTCGCCCCCAGCGGTGGGCCAGGCCCCCGGGGACAGCCCCGGGATCGGCGGTGACCTCATCTTGCTGCTGAAGGCCTCGAGAAAACAATCGGCGATTGAGAGTGCCCCAGAATCGACGCCGTCTCTGAAGTCCTCGAAATGTGCGCCTTTGCTGGGCTCTCTCGCTTTATCTGGTGGCTGCCTGCGCGCGCGTTCTGGCCTCTGCCTGAACCTGCTGATTTAATTCCGCGTGCCGCGCATTAGTTGGCGCCAGAAATTCCGCCGGCTGCTCCGGGGGGAACTTCCGAGGGGTCGGGTCGAGGGCGAGGCGCTGACGAGCGAGGGCGCGAGTGCGAGCGAGTCTGTCGCCGAAGAGCGAACTCTTGGCGGACGATGGCACGACTAATGACTTCACCGCGATGAATCGAGAGATAAGTCGATGAGGGAGTACGACGGATCATCTGGTCTCGGGCTGCTCTGGCGGCATCCCGCACCATTCGCTCGTGGAAGTCCAGCGGGAGAGGCGGGGAAAGACCAGGTGTGTCCGCGGCGGCAGAAACCTTGGATACATACGCCGTATAAGCAGGATGTTGTTAGACCGCGGGATGGATGGCTCTCTGCTCGTCAGGGGGGGGGGGCGGCGGGGTCTCGCCTGCCCCGCCAAGGCCGCGTGGTCAGAGGGCCCAGTGCGGTTCATCACATCTGGGAATATGTCGACGTCGGCGGTCGCGTCGGGCTGTGGCAACGCCCATCCAGGCAGCGCTGTGATTATCCTGTCGATCGCGGACAGGGCACCTCGAGCTGCGCAGTGGCGGGCGGGCCCCACCACCGCGATCCCCGCCGGATTCCGAAAGCACCGCTCCGATTCCTGATGTCGATGCGAACGTCTTTCTTGGCTGGGGGGGGGCCCAGGAGGGTCGAGGGGGTCGAGCGGTGACGCGCGGGCCCCCAGAAATATTGAGGCCGCCCTGGAGGATGAGGATCTTCTGGCGCGGTGCTCCCAGAACCCTGAGAAGGTCGGCCTCAATCCTGGCCAACAGCTGGCCCCTGACAGGTGCGTTAAGCCACGACCACTTCGACGCCCAGGGATTGCCTGGCGGCAACTTTCAAAACTCTGCCCTGGACCAATACCTTTGGGGTAACCTCTGGCTTGTTCTAGGGGTGGCTGTCGCTGAAGTCGGGGGCGAAGGCAACCGCCCCCCTCCGCGGGGCACGGGGGCTCGGGGGGGGGGGGGGGCGAGGGGAACTCAAGAACTGGCTTCCGGAGGTGATGCAAGAAGTCGGGGGCAGCTGGCGGCCCGCGCTTTTCCTGGGCACTAACTACGGCACCTGGCGCAAATGAACGGCTGAGGTAGGGCATTTTTTTGGCCCGACGAGGAAGAGCATGGCGTGGTGGCGAGCGAGCATCCCACGCGCCCAAGGAGAGAGTGCGGGAGCGGGAAAGAGAATCTTGCCTGTGCCCAACAAATGCATCACCCACTCCACTGAGCTGGCTCGGGCCCGCATAGACACTGGCCGATCGCCTGCTCAATTCTCGGCCTGGCGATCTGCTGCAGGACGACGTTTTCCATTGCCCAAGAGATCTTCGGAGGGTTCTCGTGCTGGGGCTCGACGCGAAGGATCGGCTTCCGCGCGACCGATAATTCCCCGCGCTCGTTGTTCGCAGATATCTGATGTTCTCGATCACTCGACGGATCTGCTTGAGGAGCATCTCTTTCTGGAACTGACACTGTGACTTGTCCGACGACGCATGAATCTCGACGGGGGCCCCTTCGACGTCTGCCGTCTGGAATCGCTCCCGCTGCTGCGGTCCTCTCCGCAGCGCGGCAATCGCCACCCCCACTTTACGAGCTACGTAATGAGCACTTCCATTGACGCGAAGTTGGAAGCGGGCCACCTTCAATCTCGATCTCCTCTTCAGGTAGGGCTGCGCGCTGAAGCCGCGCGCGAAGAGCAGGTGTCATCTGCTGCTTGGCGGCGTTGGTCCTCGCACGCGCCACGATGATACATGGGTCAGGAGCGCGGCCGAACGAGTTTGGAACATGGGCGGCTGGCTCTGGTGGCTTCTTCGAACGCATGATCCCCAGCATCTTCTGCAACTCCGCGATCGACTCCTCCATCCTGCCCATCCTGGAGTCTGCCTGCATCTGCGCTGTCTCCACCTGGCATACTCGATGTTCGAACTAACGAGCGAGCGAAGCACGCGAGGACTGCGCCGTCGACGCGAGAGTGGAAACGGACTGCTGAACGTGAGCGATGGCGGCGAGCATGCTAGTCTGACTCTCATTATCATGCGCACGCAATTCACCGAATTGATCTCCTCCGTCCACGGGAGACAATCCGGCATCATCACGGGGACCCACGGGAAGCGGCGCTGTTCGGCTCCTGCTGCGATGATGGGGGTCATGAGCAGCAGCGCGAGCAGGCTGACGAACCTGGGACGCCTGCAACGGGAAGGCGGGCATCTCGTCGAAGGTTTGGAGGGAGGCGGCTTCCACTGGGATGCAACCGCTGCCTCCGACATTTGACATCCTGCGCTCGCTACGCTGGTAGCGGCACCCACAATGAAGCAAGCACGCTACTGGAGAAAGTGCGCAGCGCCTGGGCAAGCTCCTGCGCGGGACGAGAAAAGTCCGCCAGCGCACGACGCGCTGGATAGCTCGGAAGAAAGCTACCCGCTCGCTTTGGGACCTGCCCCCATCCTGAACTAAGATAACTACGGACCTCCTCCTCCTCCTGCTCCTGCTCCTGCTCCTCCTCCTCCTCTCTTTTTCTCATTATTATTCATATTCCTCTTCCTCCTCCTCCTCCTCTTCTTCCTCCTCTTCTTCCTCCTCCTCCTCCTACTCCTCCTCTTCCTCCTCCTCCTTCTCCTTCTCTTTCTCCTCAACTTCCTCCTCCCCCTCCTGCTCCCCCTCCTGCTCCTCCTCCTGCTCCTCCTCCTCCTCCTCCCCCCTCCTCCCCCCTCCTCCTCTCTTCCTTCTCCTCCTCCTCCTCCTCCTCCTCCTCTGTTCCTCCTCCGTTCCTCCTCCTGTTCCTCCTCCTCCTTTCCTCCTCCTCCCTCCTCTCCTCCTCCTCCTCCTCCTCCTCCTCCTCCTCCTCCTCCTCCGCCTCCTCCGCTCCTCCTCCTCTTCCGCCCCCTCTTCCGCCCTCCTTCCGCCCTCCTGTTCCGCCCTCCTGCTCCCTCTGCGCCCCTCCTGCGCCCTCCTCCCTCTCCTCCTCCTCCTCCTCCTCCTCCTCCTACTCCTCCTCTCCTCTCTTTTCCTCCTCTTTTTCCTCCTCTTTTTCCTCCTCTTTTTCCTCCTCCTCCTCCTCCTCCTCCTCCTCCTCCTCCTCCTCCTCAGGTCCTCAGGTCCTCAGGTCCTCAGGTCCTCAGGTCCTCCTCCTCCTCCCCCCCTCAGGTGAGAATGCGATGGACGGATGGCTTCTTTTTGTACCTCCAGCGTTTCGTCGACGCGGGGCCTGCTGAGGCCCGCAGGCGGGGTGCGTCCACCCTGAGTCTTCGGAGAGGAAGCCGCCACCCCCGCGCGCAGCGAAGAGAGGGCGGGATACGAAAACGCCAGCTGTACAGCTGCACCGATCCCGGCCAAGCCTATCCCAGGCCTCAAGCCCAGGAGCGGTGCACACGCCCTCTGGGCTTGGCCAGGACTGCGGCCCCACTGGGAGGGTTCGCATGGCGGCGCTGCACAAATTTCGGCACACCGCTCACACGTTTCGTGGCCCCTCGGAGAGGCCCCACAGAGAGCTCCACGTACGACCCCAGAGGGAGAGTTCGCTTGGCGGCGCCGCGCCAACTTCGGCGCACCCTTCACACGCTTCCTGTCCCCTCCGGGAGCTCCACTTTCGGGGGTGCGGCCACATGCCGCAGCGTCGCACGTTTGGGCACACCCCTCACACGTTTCGTGGCCCCTCAAGGCACCCTACCCACGGCTCGAGTGGGTGCGCCCGCACGCCGCCCTCCGAGAGCTCCGCTCACGGCCCCTTGCGAATGCGTTCCTGTGCCGCTCTCCCGCCCGTCGACACCCCCTCACGCGGACCGTGCCCCGCAGAGCTCAACGCGCCCCTGCGCGCTTGCTCCGGTGTGCCCCTCTCGGTGCCGCTTCCCCGCGCCGCGTGCGCGACATGCGGAGAGCGCGCGGCGCGCCCTGCGCCACGCGCGGCCCTCTTGGGCGACATTGTAATTTTTGACTATTGTTGAATATTCTTCCTGTAGAGGGACATGCCCGAGTTAACCATTGCGCTCTGGCCCCACACTGGCGCCTTGGACTCGCTCCGGCTACCCATCGGTCGGAAAAAGTAGGTAGAAACATGAAGCAGGAACGCGTTGAATTTAGATTGGGCCCCTTCCGCCCTCCAGCAGGGACGGAAGACGTGAAGCCACTCGATCATTGAAGTAGAAAGGCGCTTAGAAATGGATTGGAATCCGGGAATCCAAAAATACTTATTTTCAACGACCGATGGATAATTATTATTCGGGGATCTTCTGACCGGGGTCAATTCCAACCCGGGCCAGTCACGCCGTGCAGGACCCTGCATGAGCCTCCAATATCCTGCACCCAAGCCCGGGTGAATGCGAAAAATCCTGCAAGATCCTGAAGGATCCTGCGCGCAAGCCCGGGTCAATGCGACCCTGGCCCTGCGGGATGCTGCAAGATCGGGCGCTCTGGCTGACCCCCGTTTGCATTGACCCCCGTCTCAAGGCCCCCGCATTCTCAAGAGAGGGGGTCCCGTTGGCCCCGCCGCGCGGCCGGGAGGCATCCGCTGGCCCGCCCCGACGGCCGAGTCTGAGGAGGAGAGGGGGGTGAGGAGGGTGAGGGGGGTGAGGAAGGAGGAGGAGGAGGAGGAGGAGGGAGGAGGAGGGAGGAGGAGGAGGAGGAGGAGGAGGAGGAGGAGGAGAGGAGAGGAGGAGGAGGAGGAGAAAGAGGAGGAGGAGGAGGAGGAGGAGGAGGAGGAGGAAGAGAGGAGGGGTAGGAGGAGGGGGGGGGGAGGGGGGGAGAAGGGGGGGAGGAGGGGGAAGGGGGAGAGGAGGAGGAGGAGGAGGAGGGGAAAAAAGGACCACCGCACGGCGGCGGGAAAGGGTTCGACTTCGCTAGGGCGATTCGAACGCTTCTTCTTGGGCTGCCCGTCGGGCAACCCAAGCAATCGGAATAGGAAGGCTGAAAACAATCGGGTTCTGCTTTGAGGGCCTCGGGGGCCGCCCTTCCATGGGCCGCTCGTAAGCGTTGTTCGAAAACGTTGAAACATTGTTTTCAAAGCGGCCCTCGTTGAGGCCTTTCAACGTACATCATGAATACTTGCGACGCTGCTTGCATGCAACCATGAACCTGTCGTCAACTACATGATCGAAAACAAAGATTGTGTGCTCATTAGACTGGTGCGCCGGCGGCATTTCCAAACCTTCACCGCCGACCCTCGGGGCAATGGCGGGCCAAGACGCAAGAGTCTTCCGCGAGTGCCGAAGGACGCCTTTCATTCTCTTGTCGGGCAACTGCCGGCCTTCCCTCTTCCCTTGCGAGGGCTGGCGGCTAGCTCAAATATTCATCCGGCGGCGTCGTCCCCAGAAGCGCGCCCCCACTCTTCAGATTAACGCTCCAGGGGCTCCAAATTCTGGTGGGCCTTTATTGCGGCGGCTTCGAAACCACCGTCGCGACTGGCCCCTCCAAGATTGGCCATGGAACCAAGCCCGTCAAACGTATTCTTCCTACTAGCTGGCTTGCCCGCGTTGCGGCAAGCCGCGGCCCCTTTGAAACCAGAGTGTACCTGAGTCACTTTCTGTACTTGCTACTAGCTAGATGCGCTAGGAATTCTGCTTCTGGGGGCGCGGGCGGCAGAACTCTGCCTACAGGCCCGCAGAGGTATGCCACTGTATCCCCTGTGCGCACTGCACTTTACTATTGCCCAACCAGGGGCGCGAAAAGACTGGTGGCCATCCTTGGCCACGCCGCCGTCGGCTAAAACCTCGCCGACGAAAGCCCCCTCGGGCGAAAGGCCGCCGCGGGGCCAAAACGCTCCTGTAGCTAAACCTAATCGGGCTCGGGACCCGAGAGGGGGGGTGGGGGGTGGGGGGCTCGGGAAAACCAGCGCAGGTGGCGAAAGTTAGGGGTGCCTTCAAGGCTTCGACATTTCCTTCTTCCAGACTTCCTCCCGCCACTTTTGGGGCGCTCCAGAAGCCTGTGGAAGATGGCCTTCGTGGTCCCCGCCTATGCGGGTAGCGTCTGTATCATGCCCTGCGTCTTCAAACCTGCACGTGGTCCAGGTCGTCTGGGCCAGGTGCGACGCTGGGAGGCCGCGGTTCTGCTGGGTCAATATTTCGTCAGCTAGCGCTGCTTGGGCACGAGACAGAGCAACTCCGCGTCAACTGCAACGCTTGCAACGGCCTGGCCTGCCAGCCCCCCCTGCCACGCTGGCGCGAGCATCCGTCGAAGAAGAACTGGCGAGGTGGATGTGGGCGGATGGGCTTCACCGTCCTTGCTGGTGAAAATCATCGGGCTGGTCCACGACCACCCAGCTCGTAGCAAGCTCAAATCCACCGCTCCAGGAGGACCCCTGGCGCGACCCCATCTCAAAAGAGGCCTATTGAGAAAGCCTGCTGCTCGTCGTCTAAGTGCATGAAGTTCAAACATAGTGGGGTCCTGGGCGGCCCTGAAAGCGATCATGCTCCCATAGGTGCGCGGCCGCAAGGCAAATCTCCAAGCCTGGCCATCAAGAAGAGCCAATCAAAGAGCGCGCGAGCGGGCAGCGCGCCTGGGCCCCGCGACCTTCAGGAACATATTTTCGCCTCCTGGATCTCATGAACGATGCGGCATCGTACTTCGGAGCCACAATGCCCGCCCTTCTGGAAACCAGTATTCCACATCTTCTTAGTGTCGGCTCCTGCTGCGCGCGGAGTTCGCAATCCCCGAACACGACGCTTCAACTTCGCGCGCGCCCCTTTAAAGTCTTGCGCCCCTTGCTCCTAATCTGGATTGCGTCATGAAGTCTACTCCGAAGCTGGCGGCGGCTGGCTCATTCAAGCCCGCCTCAAGGCCAGTCTGCAGGCCGAGCTCGGTCGATTGGTCGGCCTTGATCGCGGGCATGCACGCCACGACGTCAGTCCTATGCTTGGCGATGTCACATTTGAGATCAACAACGATCGACTGATGCATGCTAGCTGAGGCTGCGG